CTTGTTTCTCTCTCTCTCTCTCTCTCTCTCTCTCTATATATATATATATATATATATATATATATATATACATAGATATATATATATATATTAAAGTAAACATTGAAGTCAACACTTAGAGGCAACCGGCTGCTTCATGCTTGACGCAAGCATATAATTATATATATATATATATATATATATATATATATATATATATATATATATATATATATATATATGTTCTGTCTTTGACATAGAGCTCTCTAATGTTTGAGTAGTGGAATATATATATATATATATATATATATATATATATATATAAACGTGAACATAGAAGTTAACACTTAGAGGCAACAGTCTGTTTCATGCTATATACAATCATCAGGTGGCCTGACGATTGCATATAGCATGAAACAACCTAACTCTAGTGTTGACTTCTATGTTCACTATATTACACACGCTCTATCTCTGATATTGAGCACTTGACCCCATAAATATAAAACACCTTAAGAGTATATCTCTTCATATATATATATATATATATATATATATATATATATATATTATAAGAAATTATAATAAAACATTTTAAATCGCCACACAAATCTACCTTTAAAATTTTTTTATTACAAACTCTTATAACAATAATATAATAATAATAACATATTTCTCTTTGTATTGAGCACTTTTTAAAAAAAACTAAATGCTACAAACTGTGGATTTTTACTCCATTTGTTCTTTTCTCTCATTTGCATACGTATATATATATATATATATATATATATATATATATATATATATATATAATGTCATTTAATTTCTTCATCTTTCCAGACTTGAATGAATGTATAGGCGAAGGGGATGGCCACACATGTCATCCAACGACCACATGTTTCAACACGGAGGGTAGTTACGAATGCAAATGTAATTATGAAAATGATTGCGCCCACAGTAAGTAAAACAATTTTTTGTTTTTTGTTTTTTATTAAATGTAACCCAATGTCAGGCTTGAGAGCTTCTCAAGCTAGGGAGTTACGGTCGAAATGATAATGCTGAATGAACTTTGTAATATGAATATAATAAAAGTTAGTAGGAAGTGATGATTATGCTGGATCGATAATAACTGACCATTGACTTGAAGAGGTTAAGATTATAATGTTCAGGGAAGCACTCACGTGGGAGTTCGCTTCATAAAGTTACAGTTCTGTCTGGTAGCACTACCTCCTCAAGGCACGATGTAAGGCTTCCGTGTTGAGTCTGAGGCCCTGTGGGAAGATGAATGGAGGCATAAATTCGCCATCACTAGTGATCACTCCAAACAGCATGTTGACTGGATGTATCATCCAACTGTTTTCGAATCCTCTGCACTGCCCTCAGATTGACACCCAAAACACGCTGAAATGTTCGTATTGTGTCTTCCAGTGCGAATGCCAAGCAGTTCAGCATGCCGTATTCTAGATTTCTGGCGGGGTGAATTGCGTCATAGTGCTTTTTTTCTCACAGACGGTGCCCAACTGACCCCACTATACTGCGCAGTCGATAAAATCAAAAAACAAACAACGCGCATGCGCGAAATTAAAATATAAAACGGCGACAATTTACCCATCACACCCTGTATATCGATTAATGTAGGATGTTAGAATAATTCATAACTTATTCGAAGGGGAAAAAACGTCTGCATACGGAGAGAAAACGGAGTAGGTACACAAAAATCGAATGGGTCGTAAACAAGGATGTTTCATATTACAGGGCGCCTATCCTAAAGAAGCTGGGGTCTGTACCAGGATTTATTATCAGTGGGTGCAATCTTAACAATATTTAATACGAAGAAGAAGAAGAAGCATCATCATCATCATCATCATCATTTCGTGTCAGTGGCGCTTAAAGAATCCATCGTTACAGATAGATTTTTTACATCATTCCAAAATATTCAGACTTCTTCAAAATAACAATCTGTTCTCAACGTGAATCATGTTTTGTCTTCGTAATGTTGCTTTTATTGAAACAATTCCTTTTCTGATAAAGGTGATCCATTGCCGAAACATGTCAAAACAGAGCTCTTCAAAATCGTATGATTTAACATAGAGAAATAAAGAACACCTACTAAAAGATAGATAGATAGATAGATAGATAGATAGATAGATAGATAGATAGAAACAGACTGCGATAGAGACAAGGAGATTGATAAAGAAACAGACTGCGACAGATAGATAGATAGATAGATAGAAATAGACTGCGACAGATAGATAGATAGATAGATAGATAGATAGATAGATATTGCTTATTTCTATTTCAATTATTTTATTTGAGAAGAAATAAATAATTTCCTAAGAGAAGTCCCATTTTAATATTCATTTTGGCTCAGCTTCCTCCCATCAACGCCCACAAGACGCGCCATTGCTTTATCTCTTTCTCTTTGCGTCCGATCAACGTCCCCCCCCTCTTTTTGTCCATCTTATCTTTGAATATATATGCAACTAAATAATAATTATTTTGTTCCTTTATACTTGGACTTCTTTTTGTCAATAGTCATAAAAAAAATTAATGATTAATTTTTGATACGTTTTCCTTTCATTTTATTTTTGTGGTAATTTTGTTGTTGGTTCGCTCATTTTGATTTTACATTTCACAGCCGTTAAGCCAGCAGTATGGCTGAAATCGGGAATATGTTTGCAAGGGGATCTGAACTCGCATCTCCTCCCTTTGGTGCATGTTTGACTGAAATGGCGCCTTACCAATTACGTACACAGAAGCTTTAGCTTTCATAGCGTTAACAGCATGATGCAGACAAACTCTAGAGCGGAAATCAGTAACCATTTGCTAACCAAGTGCCGACTTAGGTTTTTAAAATCATTCCGTGTGCCAACAGCATACGTATTTTTATGCAAGTCAAGGTCAATATACCTGTTCTACAATATATTTTATATAGTAATATATACAATAATATGTAAACCATATTAATAGAAATAAACTTTTTTTAAAAATTTTACTTTTAAAGATTTTTTTATTATTAATGGGAGTCCAACGAGTGAGCAGTTTTGAAACAGCTAAAAATATCTTCTTTGTGTTGTAGTAGTTATTGGTTTGGACTTCGTGATGTCATTTTCGGCTGTGTGCCATTGGAAATTGTTTGTCGTGCCACGTGTGGCACGCATGCCGTAGATTGTCGGCCTCCTGCTCTAGAGCACAAGAGATGCTAGTTTAAATTTCGCCATAAACGACTCTATTTCTGATCACTGTTGTCTGTAGAGCAGTTATCAAATGGTCTTAACTTTGCAGTAAAGTGAAGAAAAGATTAGAAAGCTCTCAGAGAGTGCTTACTTCCGTCAATTTACAGATTACTATACCGTGACAAAAGCTTGTAATATATCAAGGGAGATAATCGCATTACTTTTTTAACAATAATATTAACAGTCTGGATAATTTATAGGTTTTTAATAAATAAAGCAAAAAATAGTCCTACGTCGTAATGTTAATAAAATCGAAAAATTCCGCCTCGAAATTTACTGTTGTCCGTTGTCCCATGACCCGCCTTTCAGATTCATTGAGGACATTTGTAGAACGTGCGTGGACAGATGAAGCATCTGTCCAACTGTGTTGACGATCTGATTAAATATGAATCGTTGAATGACGACAAATGCTTTATAATAAATTTAAATATTTTTCAGGTTGTATATATGAAGGTTATTACCATGAAAATAGTACGAAATGGATTTCAGAAATAGACATGTGTTCTCTGTGTAAATGTACAGTAAGTATACTTTTACTCTTTTTCTTTGTCAATTATGAATTATTGTCATTTAGTCATTAGCCTTGTCTTGGAAGCGTTTTCTGCGTCTGTTTAGCGTCTAGTCGAACTAGTCATAAATATGTTTCCTGTTTTCGCTTTAACATTGGTTGATTCTCATGACGTAATTCTAATCTCATAAGAGATTCTGTTTCTTTTGAAATGACCTCTACTTAAATATTCTAATCTTTTTTTTTTTTTTCGTTCGTGAAAGTCTCTCATTTAACAACCGATACTTTCCTGCACATCCTAGAAAAATGAAACTTACACTAATAATAACAACAACAATAATGATAATAATAATAATGATAATAATGCTGAAACAATTGACCATCTTGTCTCAGTTTACAGTGTTAGCACCCACTGAATATAAAAGTCAGCATGATATAGTTGGCCAATATCTACACTGGAAAATCTGCAACTTTTACGGAAAGGAAATGACAAGAAAACTATTATGAACATCACCAAGACCCGGTTACAGAGAATAGGATCTGTAATAATTTTATTAGACTTTACAATACACACAGATAGAACAATAAAAGTTAATCGCCCAGATATCGGGATTAGAGATCAAAAGAACAGAATCTGCTTTCCTATTGGCATAGCAGTGCCTGCAGATTGTCATATATCTTTGAAGATCTTTAAAAAAAAAACACTATCAAAATACAATGATCCAAAAATGTGGCACATGAGGACATCAATAATTTCAGTTGTCAGTGGGACCCTTGTTTTGATTGGAAAAGGCTTTCAGCTTTTAATCCTTCACAACTGATCACTATGGAATTTGTCTACATCTTCTTAAAATAATATTGGCCATGAAGATGTTTATATTGCTTCTTTGCATTCGTTTTTGCCTTCTTTTTTTGTTCATTGCCGCTGCAGTTAGTGTAATATGGTTCCTTTCTTCATACACCTGAAATTATTATTATTATTATTATTATTATTATTATTATTATTATTATTTCCTTTGATTTCTGGTGTCTACTCATTTCTTTCCTGGTCCCGACTAGAGACCTAAGGCCAGAAATGGCATCATGCATTTTCCACTTAGCAGTTTTGAAAAAAATTCACACATATATTACATAAAGCCCTTCGTAAGGTGTGAGCTGTACTTGTGAGTACATTTTTTTGTATTTCTTTAAAGGCATGGACTGCCAGGGATTCCTTCATTGAGTCTATTGGGATCATTTGCAATCAATCCGAGAGCTCCAACTACAACTGGATTGTTATT